TGCCCAAACATTATGCCCATTTTCTGCTAGTTTCTCCACCAGCTGGTTCTGATTGGGCGTTAGTTTGACATGACTGAGGTCCAGAGGAGCAGGTTTGTATCCGCTGCTCATCACATAACTGACCAATGAAAAGAATAATATGAAAACAAAAACCTTAACCATTAAACAAGACCAATACTGCCTGGGTGCGTTTTGAGGTTTGCATACGTTTTGGGAAGTTTGATCTTCCTCAGATTCTCCTCTGCTTTCTCATCTCCCATGCCTACATGGCATCCCAAAGCTAAGAGGGTTCTGGAGAGGTCAAGGAGAAAAAAGTTGGCGAATAAATTGTATAGACAGATGGATGCATAAGCAATGAACTTCAGATTTTTGAGATTCAACAGAAACTCACTTCAAGGTCTCTCCAGACATCTGGAGGTTATAATTCCTCTCGGGTTCCGGAAGACTCTGAAAGTCCACCAGACACGGGTGCAACTTCTTATTATCATCCCTGAACTGAGAGAGAGTTGAGTTTGCATGTTCTTTTGTGCTTGCGTTGGTGTTTATTTGTAAAAGACAGAGACAGACAGCACTCACCACTCCATAGATCCAACCCTGCTCAATTCGGGTCACGGCCCAGAGCTCATGGATATTTTCTGCAAGCTTCTCTCTGATCCGCTCCAAATGAGGAAGTAGAACAATCTACAAATGACATTACACAATACATACACTGACCGCTGAGTCAAAGAGTTTTTGGCAAGCAACAGCGGAGTTAAAAAAAATGTGGTTAGTTTAGTTTACCTGGGCGGTGTCAACAGGACAGGGAGTGAATGAGGTGTGCGTGAGGGACTGCGTGGGGCCCAGCAGGTTTCTGACTCCACTAAAGTCATGTTTATACTCCTTAATGGGCTCAATGCGCATTCTGTCTTTGGGGAGAAGAGCTTCATAACATGGTGCATAACCAGGAGGGGGCAAGAACTTAAAATCCCCATGGTGACCACCCAATAGGAAGCGAGCTCTGAAAAATTAATTAATCATATTTTTAAAATGAAAACTAGTGATTTTAGTTTTCATTTATAAATAATTGTCTCTGTTTTGATAATATCAAAATTTTTGGGGTCGGTAAGATTTTTTAATGTTTAAAAAATGTCTCTTATGCTCACCAATGCTGCATTTATTTGGTCAAAAATACAGTAAAACTGTCACTTTGTGAAATATTATTACAATTTAAAATAGCTATTTATTTTAAAATGTAATTTATTTCTGTGACGGCAAAGTTGAATTTTCAGCAATCATTGCTACAGTTTTCAGTGTCACATGATCCTTCAGAAATCAAGAAACATTTCTTACAATATTTTTTTGTGGAAGCTGTGATACATTTTTTTTTTTAAAGATTTTTTGATAAACTTCAAAAGAATAAAATAGAGTAAACAAGTATTTTGAAGCATTATAAATTATTTTAACATAAATTTTGATACATTTTGTGTACCCCTGCTAAATAAAAGTATTAATTTCTTTAGAAAAGAAATAAATAAATAAAAATATTTAATGTGCATTGAATGTTTAATTTATATATTATCCATTAATTATATACAAATGAAAAATAGCCAGCATCTTAAAGGGGTCATATGATGCAATTTCAAATTTTCCTTTCTCTT